TCTCAGTTATATTGTTAACTGCCATGTTGTTTCTGTCATACTCTTGGCTGGGCCATATGTAGTTTGGTGGAGGCTTATATATCACTGCTACTACTACTCTTGATCCTCCCATCGTCATGGTGCCAGTTATGTAGTCTCTAAACCCCTCACGGCCTGGGATAGCCATCTCCTTGAAACTACATTCCTTTCTCATGAGTAGGGCCACTCTGCCTCCTCCACTACCTTCCCTCACTTTCCTTATTACAGTATAGTCCTGGGGGAACACCGCATTCATCATGATTCCTGAGAGTTTGGTTCCGTGAGTCCAATTCCATCTGGGTTTACTTCTTGTGCTCTTTCCCTAAGTTCACTTGCCTTGCTTGTAATCCCATTTAAGTTTGAGTATATAACCTTATAGCTGACTCTTTTCTGCCCATCCTCAGTTTTTGTTGGTTCCACTGGAGTAGATAAACATGGAGGGTCTGGGATGGGGAAGGGAAAGGGAGGTTGGCTGAGGGTAAAGGGGACCTGGGTTGTGAGGGGACCGGAAGGATCTGGTTTGGAAAGGGTAGGGGCGAAAAGAGAGCTTGGAGGGTGGGGGAGAAGGGAGGGCTCGAGGTGTTGGGAAAAAGAGGGGGGGCTTGGAGGGGTAGCAGAAGAGGGAGGGCATAGGGGGTGGGGGAGAAAGGGGGGCTTTTGGGGGAGGGGGAGAAAGGAGGGCTTAGGGGGGCAGTAGAGGAGGGAGGGCTTGGGGGGGAGGGATGAAGGAGAAAGGAGGGCTAAGTGGGGTGGGGTTAGAAGGGAGGGATTATGGGGTGGGGAGAAGGGAGGGGATAGAAGGGTGGGGGAGAAGGGAGAGCTTAGGGTGGTGGGGGAGAAGGGAGAGCTTAGGGTGGTGGGGGAGCGTAGGATCTGGGGCAGGTAAGGCTTCTATTGGGTGGGAGGTTTGTGATCCTCCTTCCACTGGGGCTGTTGAACTGCCTATGGAGGGTTCTCCACTCCCATCTGGGATCATAGGGTTCTGGGCTGTGGTTCCCTGATTCCTGTCTCTCTCCTTGTGCTCCTTCTTCGCTGCTGCTGCCCCACAATCTCTCCTCCCTGGTCATATCCCTCTGCATGAATACCTTTTGGAACTTTTGTACATTGAATAGGCTGCTCTTCTTTGCTAAAATTTATTCTTTTGTGTCCTCGCTTTTGAAAACCACTTTTATCAATCAATCTTTGTCCTTGTACTGGCCATGCCTGAAAATTTTTTCTATATTCTGTTTTTCCCTCTCCATCTGTACCCCTTTAAGGATCTCTCTGACTGTGGCTTTGTCCATATCTCTACTCTCCCTTTTATTGACCCCTATTTGCCCCTTAATACCTACTACGATTACTGCTCTTTTCCTCTCTATCAGTCGACTAGTGCATCTTGCTGCTTCCTGAGAAGTAGCAACTTTCATAGCAATTTCCTGTACTACAGAGACAACTTCCAGGGTCCTTCTAAATATGTCTGCAAATAAGAGTTACATTATAGAAGTCTCTTCCATGGATACATTACCATCTTCCTGGGTGCTGGTTCGTTTCTGGTATTGGGGATTCTCTTTCAGGCTTTTAATCTCCTCCCTTGCCTCATTCAGCTCATCCTGCAGGTTGGCAACCTTTTCCCTCATTACCTTTAGCTCCTCCCTGATGTCTCTCCACATATGAAAGAGTATCTTCTGAAGCGAGACATCTTCTCCTTCTCCTCCCTCTGTTACGTCTTCCCCCTGCCATGTTTGTTTCCTATTCTAATTCTCCAACCCAATGTTAGTATGTGTACTCACCTAATTGTACTCACCTAATTGTGCTTGCGGGGGTTGAGCTCTGGCTCTTTATCCCGCCTCTCAACCGTCAATCAACAGGTGTACAGATTCCTGAGCCTATTGGGCTCTATCATATCTACACTTGAAACTGTGTATGGAGTCAGCCCCCACCACATCACTTCCTAATGCATTCCATTTGTCAACCACTCTGACACTAAAAACGTTCTTTCTAATATCTCTGGCTCATTTGGGCACTCAATTTCCACCTGGGTCCCCTAGTGCGTGTGCCCCTTGTGTTAAATAACCTGTCTTTATCTACCCTATCAATTTCCTTGAGAATCTTGAATGTGGTGATCCTATACCCCCTAACTCTTCTGTCTTCCAGTGAAGTGAGGTTTAATTCCCATAGTCTCTACTCTACTATATAATGTTCCGAAAGATTCCTTACACAAGTTTCCAAAGGCCGTTCTTATGTTAGCCAACCTGGCATATGCTGCTGATGTTATCCTCTTGATATGAGCTTCAGGGGACAGGTCTGGCGTGATATCAACCCCCAGGTCTTTCTCTCTCTCTGACTCTTGAAGTATTTCATCTCCCAAATGATACCTTGTATCTGGTCACCTGCTTCCTACCCCTATCTTCATTACATTACATTTGCTTGTGTTAAATTCTAACAGCCATTTGTTCGACCATTCCTGCAGGTTGTCCTGGTCTTCTTGAAGCCTCAAGCTGTCCTTTTCTGTCTTAATCCTTCTCATAATTTTGGCGTCGTTAGCAAACATTGAGAGGAATGAGTCTATACCCTCAGGGAGATCATTTACGTATATCAGAAACAAGATTGGTCCAAGCACAGAGCCCTGTGGGACTCCACTGGTGACTTCACGCCATTCTGAGGTCTCACCCCTCACTGTAAC